GTACAGACACATCACATAAAATTAGGCCGATCGTGATATCTTCGATATTATCATAAATGATAATTGTCTTTTAACAATTGACATTGTACCTGCATATTACTGCGCACTAACAAAAGGCAAACGCCTTTGTTAATAGTTTTATTTAAATGAAAATCGGAATAAAATTTTTGCTTGTACAAACAAATGGGTCGTAATAAAGATCTTACGGAGGCCGAATGCTTTACGGTAGAAAAGCTCAAAAAAGAGGGCATGTCTGCTGCCAAAATTGCACGCATCCTTGGTAGATCGGATACTTCTGTTAAAAACTGTCTTAAACGATTACGTTTAACTGATAATTCTAGTTACCTTAAAAGAAAGTCTAGTGGTAGAAAACCACTTGTGAATAAGCGTTATGAACGTTTAATTATAAGAAAAGTAAAATCTAACCCCTCAATGCGAAGAATGACAAAACGTTCTCTTGCTGCAGAATTCCAATCCCCCCCTATAGCCCCAAGTACCCTGGTAAAAACATTAAAAAAAAATGGCTTTAAATCTTATATTGCACGCAAAAAACCATTCTTAACAAAAAAAGCACAACGCGAACGTTATAATTGGGCCAAGGAACATAAAAATTGGACTAAAGAAGATTGGCGACGTGTTTTATGGACTGACGAATCATCTGTCAGCACTGACTCAAATGGAAAAATTCGAGTTTGGCGTCGCAAAGAAGAAGTATATGATCAAAGTTGTACACAAGCAACCGTTAAAAGTGGTCGAAAATCAATTATGGTTTGGGGATGTGTAAATGGATATAATTTACCCCATTTGGTTCGCTGCCCACCACGTATGAATGGTGAAGCATATGGAGAAATTATTGTGGATGCTGTTTATCCCATAATTATGGCTACAGACGATGCAATATTTCAAGAAGACGGAGCAAGAATTCATATAAGTAAACCAGTAAAAAAAATTAAAGCAGAGCTTGGAATTGTGCCTATGAAATGGCCTCCGTATTCTCCGGACCTTAGTCCTATTGAGAATGTTTGGAGGGAAGTTAAATGTTGGATTCATAAGAACCGAAAGCCACGTAATCAAACTGACTTAGAAGAGGCTGTTACTGCGGCATGGAATAATGTTGCATTTGAAACAACTCTTCAGTTTATAGACTCAATGCCAGATAGAGTAAAGGAAGTTATTAAAAAAAAAGGCTGTGGGATCAGTTGGTGATTATTCATAAAATAATAAAGTAAATTTGAAATATCACAGTGATATCTGATCGGCCTAATTTTGTGTAACGTGTCTGTA